CCCAACACTGAACATGACTTCAGGCAGCTTGTAGATAGTACATGTAATAGAATGACTTTCTTAAATTTAGGAAATGAAGTAAAAGGCATCATTGAGTAGGCAAAGTATTTACATCCGGGTACAAGTTAGCTCACAAGTTCAAACTACAGATAAATTCTTCTAGAGGTAGTTACAAATGTTTTCATGAATTTCCTAACAGCTGAAGCAAAGAAAGAAAATTAAGGATGAAATTCACATGTTTATAGGATGTAGACTCAGCTTGGAAAAGAGCATTTCCTTGTACTGTTCAGACTACCTCCAAAGTGGTCATTTAAGAGCCTTGCCGCTATCAGCGCTCCTTCAGCGAATAACATGGCCATTCTATTGACTTCTTCTAGGCTTGTTGTCAATGTCTCTTGTAAGCCCTGGTTCCATTGAAGCTGGACTGTGTTCCAGCACAGGTGGAGGTGCTCCTTGAGGAGCTTTGTTTCTGGCAGATGCTCTGCCACAGAAAAGTACCTTGGGGTAGGAGGTCCGGCAAAACCTACTAATATCAATTTCATAAGGACTCTGAGAAGTCCTGTAACTAAGCAATCTGCCCAGTATCCTCCAAACTGACTGAATCCCAAGACCTCTTTTAAAAATTAAAATGCTTCCAGAATGTGGTGGAGCACATCCTCATCCAGCACTTGGGAGGCTGAGACAGGAGGATTGTGAGTTTGAGGATAGCCTAGGCTACCTAGTAAGATCTTGTCTAAAAAAATATAAACACTTAAAATAGAAACACTTATTTGGCACATTAGGAAACAATGGCCTAAAAGCAGGGGAGCAGCAAACTTTCTATAAGATCCACACCGTATTTTTTCCCCCTAGGGCTGGGGATTGAACCTTGAGCATACTAAGCACTTGTTCTACCATTGAGCTAGGTCCCTAGCCCCCACACAATAAATATGTAAAGCATCTTGTTTCTGTTATAACGAGTCAACTTTGCCATTGTATCAACAAAAAAAATGCATGACTATATTCCAATGAAACTTCATTTGTGGATACTGAAATTTCACCTTCAGAAATTTTCATGTGTCATAAAATACTATTTTTTCAACTGTTTAGAAGTGCCAAAAACTTATCTTTAGCTCACAGGCCTTTCATAAACAGATGGCATGCCAAACTTCTGGACTCCAGCTCAAGAGTAATGTTTGGGTGGCATATCTTTACAGCAGGAAAGCCTTATTAGTACTGTTCAGTATTGATTTAGATTTCCATGATTCTATCAAATATGTGTGTGGGGGAGTAGTAGAGAATTGGTAGTGTAGAATTTTCCTCCAAAAATAATTATGGATCCTCTCAAGGAAGAGACATACTAATGCTAGAAACTACGCTGTCACTTATGTATGGCTGGATGTGTTTTAGGCTGCAAGTGACTCGGTAGTATCATTCCTTTAAAGCATCTGGGGACTTTTTTTTTTTTTTTTGGCCAGTTGTGAGGCCTGAACTCAGCCCGGGCACTGTCCCTGAGCTCTTCAGCTCAAGGCTAGTGCTCTATCACTTGAGCCACAGAGCCACTTCTGGCTTTTTCTGCTTATGTGGTGCTGAGGAATCGAATCACAGAGCCACGTCTGGCTTTTTCAGCTTATGTGGTGCTGAGGAATCAAACCTAGGGCCTCATGTATGCAAGGCAAGCTTTCTACCACTGAGCCACCTTCCCAACCCAACATCTGGGGACATTTGAGAAATAATGTCCTCCCAGCAAACTAGTAAACTGGCTTTCACATCCCCTCCCAAAGTACCACTAAATTAGCAGAGCATTCTTTTTTAGTTTGACTTAGACACTTTCAGCTTATGATGTCATTATGATGAAAAAAGGATCAAACCATTCCTTCCACCCCATCTGACATTTCAGTTTTAGCTACAGAAGTAGTTTTATTGAATACACAGTGTACATAAACTATCTAGCTAGATTTTGTGTGGGTGCAGGTGTGTGTGGCTGCGTGTGCATGCATGCACTCAAGTATTAGGCTTGAACTTTGGGCCTCACACTGTCACTTGGCTTTTTCACTCAAAGCTAGCACTCCTACCACTTCAGCCACAGCTCCACTTCTGGCATTTTGCTAGTTAATTAGAAATAAAAGCCTCGGGGACTTTTGTTCTAAAAAACCAGGATCCTCAGATCTCAGTCTCCTGGATAGCTAAGATTACAAGCATGAGCCACTAGTGCCCATCTGGCTTTAGCTAGATTTTATGGAGGTAAAAAGGAGCAAGAAGCAGAAAGTTATTTCTTTACTTTGTGAATGAAATTCAGGTCCCTTACCAATTTAGAACTCATTATTGTGGAGTCAGAATTAATTTCATCTTTCTGGGTTTTTCTTTTACCATCTATCCCCTCTTCAACAAATGCTTCTGAGATGTACCTTTTATTTGAAATACTAAGAGCACAACCTTGGGGAACGTGCTTTCCAGGGGTTCCTGGTAGTTTTTTTCTTCTGGTACTCTTGTTCTTAAAACCTCTTTGTAAATTTATCTTTTGATGGTGCTGGGGTTCAAGCCCTGGGCTCTTAAGCACCCTACTAGACTGTGCCCCCAGCCCCATAGTGTTTTTCTGAAGTGAGCAAGAAACTCTTGCCAGAAATTCTGAGATTTCACCTTTGTGGGACTCTCCTGGAAATTTAGTTTGCATGTGACCTGTCCTTTCTGGGACTGTCTTCTGAATGCTTTTGCCAAGGCAACGGGCAGTATACACTTTCCTTGCCTTCTTTTTTGTGTATAGTGGGTGCATGGAGTATTTTTAAGACATATTTAGCAAGAAGAATCTAAATAAGTGTTTTAAGATAATTCTAGGAAGTGGTACTGTGTCTCAAGTGGTAGAGTGCTTGCCTTCAGCTGAAGAACACAGGGACAGTGCCCAGGCCCAGAGTTCAAGCCCTACAACCACACACACAAAAAAAAGATAATTCTAAACACCCACATAAGCAATATCTGATGAACAGTTACTTTTTTGACTAGGAAATATTCTTTGCAGTATATTTTTCCATTTATAAAATGAATATTTACTTTCAGTGAATTGGTCAAGCTTGTGAAAATTTAACCCTGTGAAGATACAATACATTTAAAAAATCACATCTAAAATTATTTTTAAATTAACAAAAATTTGACATCAGAATTGCCCCATAACTTTGAAGACTTGTATAGCTATTAGCACAATCAAGAGCAGCAAAGTTGTGTCCACCTCATAGGTATCTGAGGCCCTGGCAACATGATTTGCTCTCTTGTCACAATAATTTCATCTTTTTGAGAATGTCATCAAAGGAATCACACAGTATACAAGCTTCCCTGTCCCCCGCCTTCTGTACTGGGAATGGAACCTTGGGCAAAAAACAAAGCCAGCTTTCCCCTTCCTTTTTTCTCTTTTTAGATAGGGTCTGTCTGTGTAGCCTAGACTGACAATGTACTCCTCCTCCTGCTGTAGCCTCCTAAGTGGCAGTATTAAAGACATGCACTACTACACCCCACTTAAAATCCCTTCTAAAATGATCATTTCTAGAATTCTGAAGTACATTAGAATTTATTTATTATATAACATACATATATTATATATAACATAAATTATATGTAAATTGTATATATATATATGTATATAATATGGTAGAGTTTTTATTTCTCCAAAAAGCTATCATGGAAGCAGTGGTGCATATTATAATTAATACTGTCTTAGAATTTAAGTGTTGTGATGGGGCGTGGAATCTATGAGGGTAAATGGGGGTTAGGAAGTAGGCAGTATGTAAGATTGGATTTATAAAGGCTCTGAGGGGGGCTGGGAAGGTGGCTTAGTGGTAGTGTGCTTGCCTTGCATGCATGAGGCCCTGGGTTTGATTCCTGAGTACCATATAAGCAGAAAAAGCCGGAAGTGGTGTTGTGGCTCAAGTAGAGTGCTAGTCTTGAGCTGAAGAGCTGAGGGACAGTGCCCAGGCCCAGAGTTCAATCCCCATGACCACCAAAAAAAAAAAAAAAAAAGGCTCGGAAGTATAAGCAGCATGCAGCTTCAGGACTTGGGGGAAGTTTTAAGCAGAGCAGTATCCCCAGGATACAAGTCTTCAAGAACAAGCCTTCCTAACTGTAATCTCTACCAGCATGGCTCCATCAGGGCAGGAGATAGGGCAGTAGTGGATGAGATGGAGGGACTTGGAAAGAGTCTAGTGGGAGCCAGAAATACTAATATCAAATGTGGCACAGGGGTGGGAGGGTGGTTGTTACAGGATACCCCAGCATCTAGGCCAGTGCCTGGGCAAAAAAGGGCTGGAAGGCTGGGAACAGATTTTGCTAAACACCTTTAGGTATTTCTAGGGAGGGAAAGGGTAGGTTGACGCAGCATGTTATGTGGGAAACTATAAAATAAAAGGAGAATATCCTTGTGCTTCATGGATTAAATATGAGGTGAAAAGATAAATGCGCGTGAGCCATGCTTGAAGCACAAAATTATTCCAGGGACACAAACTGATTTGGGCTGTTTCCAAGTAGAATATTATTATGGTTAATTACATGGCTCAAAGTTTTTTCACAACTTATTCTTGGGCCCTGTCACAAGTTAGGAAGCTTGTGTTTTGGCACACCCCATTTGTTCAAAATTGGAAGAGGATCAGTAAGGATCTCCAATTTATCCTTGGAGAAAGGTTCCCATTGGTCCTGCAGATGGGAGGCAAATCATGAACTGACTAAAGGAGTGTAACTGAACAAAGGGACTGACCTTCTTGTCAGAGAGCCGTCCTGGGAAGCAGCCTTTTTACCCCACTCACACCTGTTCCCACTGAAGAGACAGGAGCTAGTACCAGTTCACAGAGAGGAAGAGGAAGGCTAGCCTTACATTTTAGCTTCATGTTTCTCACTTCTCAGAGATTGGTTGTCCAAGTTACTCTTCACTCTATGTAGCAGAGCCCATGTGTAAAATGAGCTGTTTTAATGCTGTACTACAATGAGTTAGAGTTTCAGTTGTTTGTACCATAACTAATTACATCTTAAATCTTTCCTAGAAAAGACTGTGTCTTCACCATTGACCCATCAACTGCCCGGGACCTTGATGATGCCCTCTCCTGCAGGCCACTCACAAATGGTACGGATAGACCTTTCTCTGCCATACCTGGTAGCAGGCAGTCTGCATCCCTGAGTGCTCTGCCAGTGTGCACGGAGCTTCCTCAGCGCTGTGTACTGTTTCTGAGCTTAAAATAGGTCTCCGAGCTTAAACAACTGTGTGCTCTCAATTATGTTCTGGATGACTCCGGTGAGAGTAAGAATGAGAAATGCTCTCCATCCTGGGCTCATTTGACCCTTAAAGGTAGAAGGCTGAGAGACAGAAAATGTTGTTACCAAACAAATTTGTTTAATTTTAGTTCTTTTAACACCCCCTTTCACTTTTCCTGGCTATCAGTTAGAGAAGATTAAAGATAAGATAAAGCATAAAGGGACAACTTCTGTAAAATTTTAAGAAATTCACATATTTGTACAATTCAGAATTTTGCCATCTTTTTACAGAAACAAGTAGTGGCTTAATTTCTCCCATTCTGAACAGTCTCCACTGTGTGCAGAGGCTTGGGTAGGCCAGCTACCAAGAGTCCACTCTCCTGAGCACCAGGGTGAAAAGAGCCCAGGCAGAAAGCCTAGTAACTGTAGGCTGAGTATAGGACACACATAGGCCCATGAGAGGCCTCTCTTCCATCTGGGTTACAGTTCTGCTCTGGTAGTAGTTTAGTGCTTTAAAAATCATAGCTTCACTTACTCTCCAGTTTTATAGTTCTTAATGGCCATAGTCTAATACCTAATTCTTCTTCGGTACTAACCTTGGAACCCTTGACCTTGCAGAACACTGGGGAGCTGGCACCTTATTCACTTTGTATACTGAAGTATACTGTATACTCTGTATACTGTATCTAGCATACAAGTATATCAGCAGAGGCTTTCTGAAAGAAAGAGTAAAAGGTATGATAGAAAATGTAGATTGGGGGAATTTTTTCAGATAAAACAATGTTCTTTATTTGCTAGACCAGACAGCTACATAGATATTGTTCAGTGGAGTTCAATCAAAATGAGGAGTATAATTTAGCAGGGAAAAATGAAGAGAAAGAAAAAGAAGTAGAAGCAGAGAAATGAGCCAAAGGAAATGTTGCAATTATTTGAGCATGAGTTCCTGGACTGGCGATGAGGGCAAGACCCAAGAGGGATGGGATAGACAGAGGTGAGAAAGGGATAAAAATTCAAACAGGTTTTGGAATAGAAGAGCCCAAGGTGGGACTAAGTTTCAACCTGGATGACTGGGAAGTGGACTGGGAGGTAGAAATTGAGCAGTCTGGAGGGCATGGGTTAGGGAGAATCTGGATATGGAGTTGTCTGGTGGCATATTAGTGAGTTGCTTCAAATCCTTTTAGAGAGATAGGGACTAAATAAGCTAAAAAGATGCCATAGTATAACTGCAAGCAAGAGAAAGTAAGCAATACACTCAAACACAAACAGTGATTTTATTAGGATGATGGGATCACAAATGATTTTTCTCTCCTCTTCTTCCCAGATTTTTATAATGTGGTAATAATAGCTTTATAATGAAAAAATTTTGTAATAAAAAAATTATGAGGTGCCAGAAATCACAAGCTGCCCAGTAGCCTAGTGCACCAGGTGATCAGATCCTTTCCATCTGCCTGGCTTTTCTTGCATTCCAGGGGGACAGTTGACATCTGTTCATTTGGCAGGGCAGCAGCAGAAGGACATAGGAAAAGAGCCAGGGAAGACTCAGGAAAGGCTTGAGGTGGCTAGTCAAGCATTTTTATGGTGGCACTTCTACATTTGGCCTTGGTGACAGCAGTTTCTGCCAATGCCGTTTATCCAGTGAGGTGAAAAGTGAAAAGTCACTTCCAGTTTGGATTGAGGGAAGTTGGCTAAGTTAAAGTTCCATTAGTTATTGTTCATGTCAGTTCTTGCTTAGAGGAAAAAATGTGTTATGTTTCAAAAGCAAATTATGTTTTCTTGGCATATTTGTATCCTCCATAGCCGTGTTTATTAAAAATACTTCATAAACGTTATACTTCCCTTTGGGCTCATCAAAATCATCTGAATGACTATTCTGTGAAAACTAAACTGCACAAGCAAGTATAACATATATAGTTCTCCCTCTCCCTTTTTGTAGAGTTCAGATGTACTTCTAGGCCCTCACTAATACCTCTTGTTAGGTATAAAACATAGATCATTAGTTGTACAGACACACTGGCAGGTCATAATTAGCTTATGAAGGCTTCCTAACCTAATGGAAGCTCCACTTTTGAAGGGAGCCCACCACTCATCTGACCTGTGTTTAACTCATTTTTCAGCCTACAAACACACTGGATGGCAAGGAATACCCCCACGAGCATTAAGTGTGGATTTTTTTCACTTTTGCTAAAGATAGTATTTAATACTGAGTGTTACAAGAATAACCTTGAATTTAAAGACAGTAAATCACACAGTCTGGCGTTTTATGATTGTAATAGATCACTTGCAGCACACCTCAAAGTTGACCTCATCACTCAAGTGTGGGAATGCCACAGTTGTCAGATCACCCTCTGGTTTTTGAATCACCTCTGCAGTATTCACTTATTGAATATCCAGATTGCATTTGAACTTTCTGCCTTAAAAGTCAACTCATTTTGCCCTAAGATTGTGTGGCTCTTAGCATGGACTCACTTCTGCCTTTATGAAATCTGAGGTACATGCTCTCTGTCTTCAGCTTATAATGCTTGTCTCCCTACCTAATTCTGTGTCCTATGAAAACACACAGGAACAAGGTAAACCTCTATAGAACTCTCCTGTCCTCCTGGCAGAATGAATTGTCCCCACCTTATTATATTAGCACATTTGGTCATATTTCTAATACAGAAAAAACAGGTTTTCTGAATTAATTCCCCCTTTTACTTGTTTTCTAAGGGCAGAATGTTCCTTGGTATCTCTACATCCTGAGTATCATGCATGCTACCCTGCATTTTAAAAATGTTTGCTCTAGTTAGATCTAACCAGGCAAACTCTGCGCATGAATGATTTCCTTTTGTGTGTGTATATGTGTATGTGTGTGTGTGTGTGCTCGTGCGCACACACACACACACACACACACACACACACATAACCTAGGACTTGAAGCAGGGCCTGGGCACTGTCTTTGAGCTTTTGTGCTTAAGGCTAGCTACCACTTTGAGCCACAGCTCCACTTCCACCTTTTTGATAGTTAATTGGAGATAAGTGTCTCACAGACTTTCCTGCCTAGTCTGACTTCAAACCATGATCCTCAGATCTCAGCCTCCCCAGTAGCTAGAATTATAGTCATATGTCAATGAAACCTGGCTTTCATAGTGTCTTTTTATCCTTAAATTTGTGATTGTCTATGTGTTTATATCTTGACAAGTACCATACGCTTCTTTTTTGGAATTGGGTATACTTTCCCCATTCATACTTTTCCATTCTTTAAGTACTGAATTGTATCTTACATTTGTGCTGTCTGTTTCTCCAGCTCAGGGAACTGAACTCACTTCTTCCCAGAATTTTCTTATGTAAATCTCTTTCATGGCCTACACTGGTGAGGGTCAGATCTAGGGTACATCTTCAGTGTTTGACTTCTCCAAACAGGCACCATGTCCTCCAAATACCTTAATATTATGAATTCATCAAGGGATGAATCCATGGATTAGGTCAGAGCCCACAGGATGTAGTCAGTTCCCAAAAGCCCACCAGCTGGCAGCCAAGTCCCTAATACATGAGTCTTTGGGGGGAGGGAGAGAGAGAGAGGGGCTATCTTAGATTCAAGCAATAATAGTGCTGTAAGCTGAGAAAGGAGGCTTGAAATCTCCACATGTAATTGTGGGTTTCATTTATTTTTCTTGCCTGTCCATTTTTACTTAATTTACTTTGAAGTTCTATTATTAAATGTATATGTATTTAAGAGTATCTTCTTGATAAACTACCACGCTGTCACTGTGAAATACCTCTTGTATCTCCAGTATCTGTTTTGAAATTACTCTAGCACCTGTAGCTTTCTAGTTATCAGTGTTTGCCTTGAGAGACTTCCTCCAACCTTTTACTTTTTGTTGTTGTTGTTAGTGCATCAGACTTCATTGGAAAGTCATGAATTGTGACTGTGCTTTCATCTTTAAGCTCTCTTCATATTTAAAGTATGTTTCTTGCATTGTTATCCAGCTTATCTTTGCCTTTTGATTCACATTTTATACTATTTATACAATTTTAGTTATAGTTGAGTAAAAGTTTTTTATCTTGCTGTTTTCTATTTGTTTCATCTTGTTATTTGTACCTGTTGTTATTCTTTTGGATTATTTTTCTCCATTATTCCAATTTTTTGTCTCTTGTTAGCATACTAGGTGTTTCTCCTTTTTTCTTTTCTGTTGTTCTAGACCAGAGTTTCTCAGTATTGACACTATTAACATTTTGGGCAAAGTGCTTTTTTTGTTGTTGTGAGAAACTGCTTTATGATTTTTTGCTTTGTATTTTGATGATACTAGGGATTGAACTCAGAGCCTTTGTTGTCTGTGAGCAGTTTTTCACAAGCAGAAACTACCAAAGAGCTCCAAGTAGAAAGCATGAACTATATATAATAAACAAATTGCTAAACTATATAAAATAAACAAATTACTGGAGGCTCAGTGTGGACATGTCTGAGTTAAAAACTCTAGAGGAACTCAGGAACACAATCATATTCTCATAGTAAATATTGGAGATAATTCCTTTCCTCAGAAAGAATGGAGTGATATATTTAGTACTCAGAGAAAATTACCACCCTTAAATTCTGTACTCTGTAAAATTGCTAGTAGATCTACCTTGCAAGAAAAAAAGTTTTTTTCTGGAGGCAGATGAAGGAGGATCACAAGTTGAAGGCTAGCTTGGCTACCTATTGAGGCCTTATCTCAGGAAAAAAAGTTACTTAGAGAGAAAGAGAATTAGATAGGACAGAAACTCAGATCTAAAGAAAGGAACAATCAAAGATGTAATAAATAAATGTAAAATAAAACTTTTTCCTTTTATTTATTTTTTAATTCTTTTTACTTTTGGTGGTTCTTGGGTTTTAAACTCAGGGCCTTATGCTTGCTA